AGGTATTCCTTATACAGTTCTCTATCCTTACATGCCCACTGATCCTGGGGAGTTACATAGGTCTTGGATTCAGCTAAGGAATGAGCGGGATACTTACCAAGAGCAGTTCCATGAGCAAGAAAAGAAGGTTTTAAAGCTCACCAGGCAGCTCGAGGAAGAAAGAGTGATCAATGACTATATCAGCACAAAGAGGAAGCGTCCATGGGACTTTTGATTTTTCTTTTTCTAGTTTTTAGATTTGTTTTATTTACTTCTTTGTAACGCCTTAAAGGAATTGTTGAACCTTTCAAAGTTAAGCTAATAAAGTTTTGTTTATTTTTGGTTTGCAAATTTAAATCTCCCAAAGTCTTTAAAATCATTACATGCGCATCCCATTATCATGCACATCATTACAGGTACCACTACAGGTTTCTCATCTTCTTCGCTGTTTATTTCAGCAGAAATGTCTTCCGATCAAGCCATCAAAGATCTTTAGGCACATAACGCATAATTCCAACAGATGTTCATAAGTCTGGCTAAGGGGCAAGAGGATCTGAAGACCCTTATTCTGAAAGAAAAGAAGAAGAAGAAGAAGAAGGTTGGAATTCTGAATATGGGCAGAAGGTTCGGAGAAAGGTTGAAGCATCAAACTAATCTGACCTCTTCATCCAAGGAAGGTGAGAACCAAGAAATGGAAAAGGACCATAGTCCTGTAGTCTCTGACAATGATACTGATTTTGATGATTAGCAATATCCTCCTACTGAGGATAGATACAAGAAGCTAGAAGATCGTCCGAGTGCTATGGAAGTTCAGAAGATACATGGGTTGGATTTCGGAGAATTGGGACTGGTATCAGGAGTGGTCATCCCTCATAAGTTTAAAGCTCTGGTTTTTGCTAAGTACGATGGAGTATCCTGTCCAAAACTCCATCTCTGCTCGTATGTCAGGAAGATCCAGCCCCACACAGCTGATAAAAATTTGTGGGTGGACTTCTTTCAAGATAGTCTGTCAGGGACTCAGCTTGAATGGTTCTAACAGTTGGAGGGAGCTAGTGTCCGAAACTGGGAAGATCTTACTGCTGCTTTCTACAAGCAATGTCAGTATAACGCCGACCTTGATCCCACTCGTACTCAACTCTAGAGTATGTCCATGGGTGTAGGTGAAGGCTTTAAGGATTATGCTCATAAATGGAGAGACTTGGCTAGGAGAGTTCAACCCCCTTTGTCTGATAGGGAATTGGTCGACATGTTTCTGGGAATGCTGCCTGGTTCGTTCTTCAATCACTTAATCGGCAGTTCGTCATCTGGTTTCACTGAGCTGATTTTAACCAGAGAAAGAGTAGAAGCTGGAATTCAGAGTGGTAAAATACAGAAAGATGCCTCTTCGAGTTCGATAAAGAAATCGTTTGCTGGTAAGAAGAAGGCCAGTGCAGTCTATAGCCCGAGGGGTCAAAGCAGATCTGAACACCGTCAAGCAGTAAATGCTGTAGTGATACCAAGACCCGCATTTGCTCCACAATGCAACAATCAACAAAGGATGGAAAGACCACAATGGCAGTTTACCCACATAAACATGACTTTGGCTGAAGTTCTGCCTCATGTGTTAAAATCCAACTTGGCGACCTTGAGAGAGGCTCCCAAGAATCCAAACACTACTTCTCCCATATATAACCCCAACGCGCGGTGCGCCTACCATTCTGAGAGTCCGGGCCACGATACAAACGATTGTTGGGCTCTGAGAAACAAAGTACAAGACTTGCTTGAAGCCAAGGAAATAGAGTTTGATGCTCTAGAAAAGCCGAATGTTATAATTGCTCCCATGCCCAAACATGGTCGTAGAGTTAATGCTGTTGACACCGATTGGTTTGTGACCTCTGTTGAAGAAATTTCTACTCTTCTGATGACTTTTAAGAAGAATTTACTATTGTTCGGTTTATTTTCGGGTTGTGGTGAAGGTTGCCACATGTGTTCGATTATACCTACTGGTTGCCGCTTGTTGAAGTCAGGTGTTCAGCGCCTGATGGATAATAAAGAAATTTTGTTGAAGACTATGATCCCTGTTGTTCCTATTGAAGACGTCGCTATTATAACCATTTCCGCCAATCCTTCCAAGGTTTCCTCGAGAAGACTTGTTAGGGTTACACCTATTCAAAGAATTGCTCCGCTAATAATCACTGTTCCTGGTCCCATCCCGTACACCTCAGACAAGGCTGTCCCATGGCATTATGGTGCTGATGTGTACTATCATGGTATTAAGAAAGATTTGAAGAATGAAGAAGCTGATACTGATGTCAGTAATATTGCCGGGACTAGTAAGGTTACCCGAAGTGGAAGGGTTTTCTCTCCTGAGATTTCTCTGCAGATCATTAAGCCTATTGTTATTCCAACTGCTGCTCCAACCAGCACTCCTGACATTTCTCCTGTTCCTACTCCAGTTATTACACATGCTACTTTTCCTATTCTTACTCCAGTTATCACCCCTGCTGCTGAGCCATCTAGGACTCGGGGAAAAGAAATTATAGGTGAGCCTGCCCAAACGGAGGCACCTAAGAAAATCGTTGTGGAAGCATCTAAACAAGAAATAGAGGAAATATTGAAAATTATCAAGAAAAGCGACTACAATATGGTCGAACAGCTGGGATAGAACCCGTCAAAGATCTCCATGTTGTCTCTGCTGTTGTGTTCTGAAGCCCATGTAAAGGCTTTGATTGCATTTCTCAAGGCTGCGCATGTGCCGCAGGAAACTTCATCAGATCAGTTCAAAGATTGTGTGGCTAGCCTGACTGCTGACAATGAGCTAGGCTTTTCAGATGCGGATCTGACCCCTAAGGGGAGGAATCATAATGATGGTCTGCATGTATCGATCGAGTGCAGGGGCACCACTATGGCTCATGTGCTAGTAGATACCGGATCTTCGCTGAATGTTCTGCCAAAGAAAGCGTTAGAACATTTGGATTGTAAAGGTTTGACTTTAAAGCCGAGTAACATTGTGGTAAGGGCTTTTGACGGATCAAAGAGATTGGTGCACGGGGAGGTGGACATCCCTGTCAAAGTGGGTTCTCAGACCTTTGGGTCCACCTTCTATGTAATGGACATCAGGCAATCGTATTCTTGCTTGCTGGGTCGTCCTTGGATCCATAGAGTTGGGGCAGTTACTTCCACGCTCCATCAAATGCTGAAATATCCGGTGAAGGGGAAGATTGTCACAGTGCGAGGTGAAGAAGAGTATATGGTGAGTCACCTCAATTCCTTTTGCTACATAGAGATGGACGGGAAATTCATAGAAACTCCTTGTCATAACTTCGAAGAGGTCCCTCAGTTCTCTGCATCAACTGAAGTTACTACCGACAAACCTCCGTTGAAGATGTCTTCTCTCAAGGACGCCAGGGCTGTAGTTGAAGAAGGTGGGTGTACCAATTGGGGTCAGTGAAACAACCGGCTGAAAATCATCGAAGCAATGAAGTCTCCATCGAACGTCTTTTATCCCACACGTAGGGAAAGGTAAACATCGAGAAAACCTGATGAGTGAGAAGTCACGGTCTTGCAACCGAGAGATCGAGTAAGGGAGTCTGTTATGCGAGGGGAAGGTATTAGCACCCCACACGCCCGTAGTACTCTACGGTATCCACTCTTATTATCTATCTTATGGGTGTGTTTAATCTATGCTTACTATTTATTATACTACTGAAGGGAGAATGCATGCAAAAGAAAGGGGAAAAGAATGTAGGGAAAATAAAATTATGCTTGCTTGGGCCCTAATCCAATGCCTACGTATCCGTTTTGAGGAATCAGAGCCACCGTAGTTCGACTCATGTGTTTTTTGTTTGTTTGTGTTTTTTATGGACGAAGTTAATCCCGCCTTCTGCCGCAGCTCGACCTTTGGAGACTTATGCGTTGGCACATAAGTAAATTAATCATGTCCTTACCTGAAAAGGATTTTTAAAGAAAGGTGCTCGAGCGCACAAATGGTTTGAGTTGATTTGTATTTTGTTGTAGATAACGACTAGTTGACCTCAAGAGAGAGATATTAGCCACCTTTCTACTTAGTCATGAAAGGAGTCTTTGAGAATTGAACCACACCTAGGCTTGAGATGAAGAATAATAAGATCGAGAAGAGACCCGCTTATCATTTCCCATACTAAGCAAAGGCATGATTCTCATCAGTAGTTTTAAAGTGTTTTAAATTTTGAAAGAAAAAGAAGTTTTTGTTTTAAATGCGTATGCAAAAGGAGAAAGAAAAGTCAGAGGGGGGCTAGCCTATTTCTGAACCTAATGTTATCGTGCATTAGTATCCCTAAGTCAAGGATGAATGAAAGGGAAACATCTACCTAATGTTAGCATGCATATGGTTTGCGATAAAGCCCTACTTCTCATGATTTTTAGAAAGTGGTAAAGTGCGAAAATGAGGAATAAAATAAAGTCATGATGATACCGAATGGAGAAGGTCCGTTGCCTCTTTAAATCCACGCAAGCGATAAGAAAACTCTACAGAAACTAATCCGCGCGAGTGATCAAGGAATTATCCTCCAAGCATTCCATATTGCGAAAGTTATATCAATGTAATATCATAAAATCTTGGCTAAAAATGTCAACAAAAAAAGATTATTAAACGTGAAAATAATAGAAAATTCTAATGAAAATTCTAAAGAGCGGTTCTAAAGAATTCTAAAATGTCCTAATATTTTTTGTATCATTTTTATCACTAAAAAAAAAGCCTTAAATTTTATCAAAGAAAATAGAGGAATCAGGGAGGTGGGAAGTTGGCACAAGGAGTATTGAAAGGAATTAGTGATAAGCCCAAACCACAGTCCACTAAGCCTTTTTGTTCAGCTAGATTCAAATAAAAAACAACGAATGGGCCTAAAGAATTCACAATTTGGCCCATACCTTCACCAGCAGTCCATAGCTTATTTCTATTTTTCATCATTTTACTAGAAAATAATAAATAATAAAAAAAACAAAAGAAAAAGAAAATTGAAAAGAGGAACGTGAGATTAGGGTTAGAGGAGTTATCCTCTTCGTCAACGGCGCCGCTTCCTCGTGGTGAACGGCGGATCCTTCTCTCCCTCACAATTTTGTGTTCTCTTTCCGTTCAATCTCGCTACACTCTGACTCAATTCGAGACGACCGAACCCTAACCTTCTTTGATACGATGTCCTTCTTCGTCCAGTTTCATCATCGCAACTCTTGTCAATTTCCGACACTGTTGTGAACGACATCAACACTTCACACCACCGTAAAACACCTTGCCTAAGCCTCATCTATTTCGTCTTCACCAACCAGAGTCTATCTGATGCATATTCGAAAGACCGCGATATCGAAAAGAAACTGCAAATCCTCTTTCACACGGAGTTCAGGTACGAATTCTTGATGCAAAATTCTCTTCTACTTCTACTTCTCTGCTTTGCGTTCTTGTTTATTCTTCTGTATTGTTGTCGTGATGCACTTGTGTTTTGTTTCTTCGTTGTGTTGAACTGTTGTTGTACGGTGTTGAATCGAAGCTGCGAATCAGTGATGAGAGAATCTGAGGGCTGTTGTTACAGAGATAGATGAGAGCACGGGGATCAGGGTTAAAGGTGTGGTTATCGAATGATTGTTGGAGGTGAATGAAAGGTGAGGAATGGTGCGGTCAAGATCATAGAAGCGTGAGATAGATGAAGGTGATGTATTTTTGTGGTGATTGTTCTGGAAAAAAAGATTGAAGAAGAATGAAAGAGGCTGAAGATGATGAAGGATCTTCTGGAGATTATGTAGAGGGAGTGAATTGAATAGTTTTTGGTGAGTTTCTCTATATCTAATTTTTCTGATTTTTCTAGTTTACTCAATCGAAAATCCCTGAAATCTGTTATCGTGTCTTCTGTTGTGAATCTTCTCTTTATTCTGATTATGTATCGTGTATGATGAGAGAGTTGGAGGGAGTTTTTTATCTGAGTTTATTTGTGTGAAAGCTTTGAATCGTCTCTCCTCCTTGTGGATGAATCAGAAATTCTGTTATATAGTGATAGAGTTTTGTTACAGAGTTAGTTAGAGGAGGGTTAGAAATCAGTTAGAAGGTTAGGATTAGTTTGAATCTGTTAGAGGAGTTTGTTGAGTTAGTTATGAATGTGGTTATGTGATATGATTGGTTAGCGGGTTGTAGGTTTGTTAGTTATTCTGTTTGGCAGTTGGTAGAAGTTAGGGAAATTAGAAATTCTGTTAGAAGTTTGTTGTTTTCTGTTTGGCTTTCTGTTTGTATGAGTCTAAATGAAAAATAATGAAGTGAAAGTGTAGGAAGAATGCAGTATGTAGCTAACTTAGACAGGGTAGGATCGATAATACTTTGATTCTTCTCTTATTTTTCTATTTTCCTTTGGTAATTGATGAATGCAGGTCTAGAATTTGGTGGCTGGTACGCACACTTACATTTGGTCATGACATGAAGTGGACCTGTTTTGAGCTTTGTTTATTTTCTACTTTGAAGTGAATGTGCTGGTATTTTCTTGATGTATGGAACAATGAAGAATGAATGGAATCAGTTTATACTTTGGTACTTAGGTAAAGTCAGCTTAATCTTGAATGAAAACCTAAAGCGTATAGGGCTGTATGTGGTTAATTCGGTTATGAGTGTAATGTATGTGTTATGAGTGTGATAAACTGGTTTGATTTAAGTATATAACACTTGGTGTAATTGCTGATTTTTGTACTTCAAATTGAATTGACTTGATTATACATTGGCACTGAACTTGCTTGGAAAATGGTCATTTATGCAGGTTTTCTTTTGGCATGAAACATGGACTAAGGCTTGGATATAACCAAATTGGAATAAAGCAATCTTGGAAGATAATGGCTTGAAGATGAATAAGCTTAGAAATGAATGATGGAGACCTCAATTTAGGATTCTTTAGCTTTAGGCCACTTGAAGATTTAGTGTAAATCCTTGTTTTGATTTAGTAATCTTGGATGTAAATGGCCTTTGTAATCTTCTCTTGTAATGTTCCAATGACACAACTTGTAAGTTTCATGGTTATGATCTCGAATGAACGAGAATGAATTTGGATAACCCTTTGACAAATCATGCGTGATGCTTAGAACTTGTAAAGATCATATCATTGAATAAACGTGAACCCTTGGATCTTAATGAGTTTTGATGAACAAAACTAATTGATTAACCTCGAATGATGTTATGACTTATAATTCTTTGCAAATTTATAACTTGTACACCAAGAGAACCACATGAACAAATCTTCCAACCTTATCTTGAATAAACCATTGCCAAATCACGAAATTGAAACCTTGAGCTAATATCAATCTTGAGCATAATTAGTAGTTTCGATGAATCCAAATTGACTTCAATTCTTAACGAACAAAAACCTTAATCAGCTTGCCTTCTTGTTAAAAATCCTAACCACAATCTCAAATCCATATTATATTGCTCTACAAACAATAAGAAATTGAGAGGACAATAATGCCTTGGTCACAAGGAACTCACATCTTCATCTTTGTATCATAACTCGAATGCTTTTGCACCTCAATCTTCAAAGATATCTTGACTTGCTGAGCACACAATGTAAATGCCTTAGAGAACTCTTGGAGATGGATGATGAGGCTCGAAATGGCGAGAACCCTCAGGAATTAGGGTTTCAATATTGGTTTTCAATAGAGATTTTTTTGAGCCTTGAATGATAAATGAACTAATGGAGTTATGTACCTAAGAAAAGCGCGACAATACATAAAACAGATACAAGTAAGAGGGTAGGACAAATTTGGGGTATTACAGTCGGCTCCCTGATTTCACTCACAAAACTGACAAATTTGGTTTGGGCTTTACTACAGGGGCTCAAAGGGCTGTTAGGCGCGCACAGATTGGAAGACCTCCTTTACACATCAGCAATTGGGGAATTAACGCAATTGAAGACAGTGAAGAGGATTCAGACATCGACATTTGGATCTACCCGAAAACCAACGGTGGACCGAATAATTGGACGGCGAGGGACTTCATACTTGTTTCTTTTATTCTGCAGTAATTGACTTTTGTTTTAAGATTTGTAATAAACAGTTTGAAACTTTACGGCCCGATGCCTTGTCCGAGGCGCCTTGGCTTTGCTTGTGAGGGCTATTATTTGTCATTTCATATATCTTTAATAAAGCATTGGATGTTTCTTGCATACAAATTTTGTGCTCCTTGTTTTTCTTTTCTGTCTCTCACTTTATCAAAACAACTATTCTCTTACACACACTCACGTATCATACTGCAGATCCATATCCACTCTGGATCCCATTGATAATAGCTCTACTACTGCTAGTTATGACTTCGAAAATCCGATCAACCAAGCCGAGGACGAAGGTGAGGATGATTGTGAGGTTCCTGGAGAACTTGCTAGACTGTTACAGCAGGAAGAAAGGGCCATACAGCCGCATGAAGAGTCAGTTGAGTCAGTGAACTTGGGTACAGAGGAAGACAGGAAATAAGTTAAAATAGGCGCGAATATGGATCCTAGTGTCAAACAACGGTTAATACAGATGCTACACGACTATGTTGAGATCTTTGCCTGGTCCTATGAAGACATGCCTGGGTTGGACACTGATATTGTAGTACATCGCTTGCCGACTAAAGAAGACTGCCCTCCGGTAAAGCAGAAGGTCTGCCATATGCGCCCTGAAATTTTTCAGAGAAAATCAAGGCAAAGGTCATGAAACAGTTCGACGCAGGATTCTTAGTTGTCACCTCTTATCCGCAGTGGGTTGCCAACATTGTTCTGGTACCTAAGAAGGACGGTAAGGTACGGATGTGTGTAGACTACAGAGATCTGAACAGGGCCATCCCCAAAGATGACTTCCCACTTCCCCACATTGATGTTCTAGTCAACAACACCGCACATCACAAGATCTTCTCCTTCATGGATGGTTTTTCTGGATACAACCAGATCAAGATGGCTCCTGAGGATATGGAGAAGAAAAACTTCGTTACATAATGGGGCACCTTTTGTTACAAGGTAATTCCTTTTGGGTTGAAGAACACTGGGGCAACTTATCAGCGTGCCATGGTCGCTTTGTTCCATGATATGATTCACCAAGAGATCGAGGTTTATGTTGATGACATAATAGCCAGGTCCCAGACTGAGGAATATCACCTTGATCATCTCCAGAAACTGTTTGACAGGTTGAAGACGTACAAGCTGAGATTGAATCTGAACAAGTGTACCTTCGGGGTAAGGTCTAGTAAGCTTCTGGGTTTTGTTGTCAGTGATAACGGTATTCAGGTAGACCCTGCAAAGGTAAAATCCATACAAGAGATGTCGTCTCCCCGCATAGAAAAAGAAGTTAGAGGTTTCTTGGGACGTCTAAATTACATCGCCCGATTTATTTCACATCTGACTGCCACTTGTGAGCCAATCTTCGAGTTGCTGAAGAAAGATCAAGTGGTAAAGTGGAATGATGAGTGCCAGAACGCTTTCAAAATAATCAAGGAATACCTTCAAGAACCACCAATTTTGATGCCTCCAGTTGAAGGAAGACCTTTGATATTATACTTGACAGTGCTAGACAATTCAATGGGGTGTGTGCTGGGGCAGCATGATGAGTCTGGTCGAAAAGAGCATGCAAGTTACTACCTTAGCAAAAAGTTTACTGACTGTAAGACCCGATACTCATTGCTCGAGAAAACTTGCTGTGCTTTGGCATGGGTTTCTCGCCGACTGAGACAGTATATGCTGACTCACACTACCTTGTTGATATCAAAGATGGATCCAATCAAGTATATTTTCGAGAAGCCCGCTCTCTCCGGAAGGATAGCAAGATGGCAGATGATCTTAACCAAGTATGACATCCAATACACAATCCAAAAAGCAATCAAGGGGAGTGTATTGACGGATCATTTGGCGCATCAGGCCGTGGATGACTACCAGTCCATGAATTTCGAGTTCCCGGATGAGAGTATCATGTTGGTAACCGACTGCGAAGAACCTGGACCAGATGAAGGACCCGAGGAGGGATCCCGATGGTCTATGTATTTTGATGGTGCCTCAAATGCATTTGGTAACGACATTGGCACTGTAATTATATCTACTGAGGGCTGTCATACTCTGTTCACCGCCCGATTATGTTTTAACTGCACCAACAATATGGCAGAGTATGAAGCATGTATCATGGGTCTTCGAGCTTCTATTGACCTGAGGATTAAGTTCTTGAGTGTATTCAAAGATTTTGCTCTGGTGATAAGTCAGATCAAAGGTGAGTGGGATACGAAGCATCCGAACCTTATTCCTTACAAAGAGTATGTACT